GCGCGGACGCTAGCGACGAGCGCCAGCGCCACGGCTAGCCGCGAGCGCCAGCGCCTGCGCCAGCGCCAGCGCCAACGTCTACGCCAGCGCCAGGCGCCAGCGATAGCGCCAGCAGCAGCTACCGTCGGCCCCCCCACCCGCCCTTCCTTCCGCGACTTCCGTCGTGGGGAGGGGGGGAGGGGGAGACGTGGGGTGGCGGGTGTGAATCACCAGCAGGCCGTCCCTCCCTTCCCTCTTCCTCTCTCCCTGCAGCACTTGGTGCTGTAGGGGGGGGGAAGAGCAGTTGAGGGGGATGGGAGTAATCTGCTTTATTTCTCTCTCGTTCTTCTCCCTCTCTCTTCTCGCTACTCCTCCTTGTATCCGTCGTATCTGGTCGCCTCCCGCGTGGAAACAGCAGCCACGCATCTGCAGATGCCGCCCACTGCTACCGTGGCACCTACAGCTGCAGCCCCTGACGCCTCGTTCGTCTTCTTTGCTGTTGAGCTGCAAACTAGATGCGCCACAGCACTTTGTCTCCTTTCTCCGTTCGTCTTCTTTGCTGTTGAGCTGCAAACTAGATGCGCCACAGCATTTTGTCTCCTTTCTCTCTTTCTTGCCTCAGGACTTGCTGCAGCTGTTTCTGCCACCACTGCACTGGTTGTTATTGCTCTTGCGTGCTACTGCTTGGTGTACCCCCGCAGGTTGTGTTTTGCAATTGGCTATAACTGCATGCAGTTAAGGGGGGATGTCAAAGTTATATTGTTATAACTGCATGTAGTTGTAGCTTAGTGTAGCATTACATTTAACTGTTGGTGGTATACCTTGCGTCTCTCCTATTTGTACCCTTTGCTCAATAGTGAAACCCCTTCCTTTTCTCGACAATCTTCTCCTTACCCTCCTTGCCTAGGCTTCTAAGCCTAGGCATCCTAAACCTAAGTTACTCCTAAGTTACTCCTTATTCTAACAATGCATGCTATTATCAATCTCAGTCATTTACATTCACTCTGACCTGAGTTCACTACTTCCGCTGCGACACTACCTGCGATCAACCCTGAACGATCCTCTTCGCTAAGTCACACTTCAGATTGTAACATGGTATGAGAGCTGCTCAGGGATTCTTCGCAACGTCAACTCCGTAAAATTCGCCAAACCAAGATCTGGCGAGCGGCACACGTTCCAAGACCAAGATGGCCGGAGGATCCGGAGGCCAAACAAATCTAACGGCCGAAGGACAAACCAACCCGGCTGCGACAAATGAAGCGACAACTACGATCGGCACTGCCGCGCTCGAGCAGTTATTCGCTCGACTGTCAACAATGGAGAAAGAACTCCAAGAACTGCGCAAAGGCGATGCGGGAACCACTTCCCAACCAGTTCAACCTGGACAACCGGCTGCGAAAAGCCGCGATACCGCCGCGCACGGCTTCTCCCTCGACTCAGACAAATCTGCAACAACTGCCCCTCGTCCAAGCGACGAAACCATCAACTCTGCGCAAGCACGCTTTCTAAGTGTGTCAAAGATCAAGACTACTGCCGCGTTTGACGGCAAGGACTTTTATACATGGAGTTTTGAGCTGGAGCTCCTCCTACAGACAGCGCAGATCTACCACTACTTCGACGGTTCCTATCCTAAACCGGTGGAAGACACCGAAGACGCCCGCGCTCAATATTACAGTGAGTCGCTTATGGCGTATAGCGTCCTGCTGCGCAACATGTCGCCAGCAGAACAGCTCGGCATCCGCTCCTACAAAGAGAGCGCCGCTCCGGCTCTTGAAGCTTGGAAGCACCTCGTGGAGGTATATCAGCCGAAGGATTCCGTCACTGCAAGCCGTCTCCTGCAACAACTCATGGAGACGAAGATGGGGCACGGGGAGAAAGCAAACAGTTACATCAACCGTTGTCGGAACATCCGTGATCAAATAATCAAGAACGGAAGTTCGATCTCGGAGGAGATATTCGTAAACATCATCCTCCAGGGACTTGGGCCTGAGTGGAAGCCCTGCAAGGCGCTACTCCGACAACGAGGACAGCTCTCTGAAGCCGCGCTATGCGCCGCCCTGCTGACTGAGCAGCAGGACATGGACTCGAGCAGAACGAGTTCCGCGCCGCGGCGAGAGCGACTCGCCTTCTACACAGACAACCGTGAAGAGCGACGACAACCAAGGCGCCATTACTGCAAAATTTGCAAAGCCTTCGGGCATTCAACGGATCGATGCAAATCCCGATCCAACTATCGGCACCCGAATCCCACTCACCACAACAACTGGGTCAGCCGACAAGACGCTCGCCACTCTCAGCCACAACAACCAGTCTCCCGTCCTCCTGCACAACAACAACAACCACAGCAGTCACAAGGACCTCAAGGAGGAGCTCCCAGGAACGTAATCGCAAACATGGCGACGCGACGCCGCCGCACTGCTGAGCCAGACGAAGAAGACGAACTTCAGGGAACATTGCCGCAACCAGAAGAAGGGTGGAACAACCCCCTTACGGAAGACCACTACTACCTGCACGACGAAGACGAGCAGGATTGGAATCAGCCAATCACACTGCGGGAAAGCCCGCCTCACGACAATCAACTCTACGTACCTGTCGGATGGAAGGAAGAGGAAGACCCGTTTTTTCACAGACGTTACAAGGCGACGCTGGTGACCCCGCGACTCGCGTTACTACTCCGCAACAACAACAACAACAAAGACAACTACAACACCTGGTACCTGGACAGCTGCTGCGGACAACACATGGTGGGGTCGACTCGCTACGTGTCAAACCTCAACCGAGCCCCCAAAACCTTCGTCACCGTTGCTAATAGCCACCAGCTGCGCGCCAACTCCCAAGGCATTGTCGTTCTGCAAGCACGAGACAGCAACACTCACATCTCGTTCAACGACGTGCTCTACGTCCCAGACCTGCGCTTTAATCTACTCTCGGCAGGACAACTTCGGGACTGCGGCGTCATACTCACCACCGACCTGGCCACGCGCGACCTCATCCTCACGTACGCCCCTCCGGACACACCTCCCGAGTCGTTTAAATACCTCGGTCGAGCCCGCTCAATCAACGGGATCTACGTTCTGGACTTCGACGTACCAAGCTGTGAAGCCTCGTCGGATGAGCTCGTGGACCTGGTCCCCCTCGAATTCGCCTTCATGAACGAAGAATCGTGGCAACATCCTGACGGGCGACCGTGGATTCGCCGCAGCCCACATCCGCGCGAAATCAATCTGCACAACCCCGACATCAACGGGCTCTGCACCACCTGCCATACACCCGCTGCAAGCCGCACGGAACAAGTGGAGAGGGAATACGCGGCGATCCAGGAGGCAGAAAGCGCCGAGGAAGAACCAACTGGCATGACCGAAGAAGAACTCGCGGTATCAACTTACCGCATCTTCGGAGAAGAAAACAAGCAGTTCGGTCACCTGCCTGATCCGCGGCCCACACCACGTTCCGAAACTCTCCGATTCATCCTCGAGGCCAACGCCACCACCATAGACGAGGAAGGACGCCCGCGCCCGTACACCCGCGAAGTTTATCGCCGCGAAATTGACCCAGCCTGGAAAGACCCTGATGAGGCAGAGGAGTTAAGCGTCAAAGAGGAACAAGATAAGGTCAGGGCAGAGAAGAAACAAAAACTGTACGAAGAGCGCATCGCAGCAGGCTGGAGCGAGGAGTCTGCACGACGAGGTGGATGGGGAGACGATGACTATCAACCCGGGGAAGGCGCCACATGGGCATCAGCCACCGGAGCATGGGGATCCAGCGGCAGTGGCATGGCTACCACAGGAGGCTGGGGTACGGAAGAAACAGCCGAAGCAGATCTCACCCAAGAAGAACTGGAGGAAGCAGAACAAGAGATGCGCACCGAACGCGGAGAGGAACCACCCCGCGTCACCATACCCCTCGGAAGACCACCACCAGCACGCTCACCCCCCCGGTCACCATGGCGCTGGGACAGTACCTGGACGGAGCTTGAGGAGGGGAACGTACCTCCAACACCTGCCCGAGACTCCCTTGGTCCAATCTCCCGTCCAGATCCATTCGCCCGCTTCATCGAAGGAACAACAACTCCGCTCACCGTCATCCCCGACCGCGAATTTCTCGCCCTCTATCTTTCGACCGCACCTGCAGAAGGGGAGACAACTCCAGAAGAAGCAGAAGGAGCGGAAGACGAAACAGAACCAGGAGAAGAGGAGGAACCACCGCTCCAGATCCCACAAGAAACAGAGGAGGAAGCAGCAGAGCATCGCGCACGCTACATGCGCAGCAGCGGCATTCGCGCCGAAGACGACCTCTGGCACCAGCGACTCGGGCATCCCTCGCGCCAGACTCTCGCCAACTGCCTCCGCGCGAAGGTCTTCCCCCCAGGAGCACTTCTGCGCCCCGATGGCATCGAACCACACAACACCCCACACCCACTCACCTGCACCATCTACTCCACTGCAGCCCTCACTCACAGCGCATATCCTTCACTGGAGCCAAGCACCAACCGCTACAAGAAATTACAGAAGGTGTACAGCGACTTCATTGTACTCACCTGCGACGGACTCAACGGCGAAAAATACACGCTGACCTTCATCGACGCCTACTCACGCTACGTCTGGATTGCCAACGTCGACGCACGGTCCAAGGCTCCAGAAGTCTTCCGGATCTGGCTCGCACACGCACAGCGACAGTCAGGGAGGAAGCTGAAAATTTGGCAGAGTGATGGCGCTAAAGAATTTCGCAGTTACGAGCTGGAGAGCGTTCTCACCGAGAAGGGGATCAAGCACGAGATTTCTCTCCCCTACGCTCATCAGCAGCAAGGAGTCGCCGAGAGGGTTAATCGCACCCTCATGACGAAAGTGCGCGCCCTCATGAATCAGTCCGGCCTCCCCAAGAAGTTTTGGCCTTACGCCATGAACCACGCGGTGCGCCTTTACAACCTCCTCTCCACCACGGCCAACAGGGACAACCTTTCCCCGCACATGAAGTGGACCGGCTCAAGGGGAGATCCCTCCATGTTGAGGGTTTGGGGGTGCATGGTGCAGTATCGGCCAACTTCAGCAAACATCGGCAAGTTTTCTCAGCGCGCACGCTGGGGAGTTCATCTGGGGCTCAGCAACGAGCACAAGGGGTGGCTCATTCTCGACGTCGACAGCAAGGAGATTGTTCCCGCGCGTGACGTCATCTTCTACGAAAGACTCACCTTGAAGCAGTGGATCGAGGACGAACAACGCAACCAAGCTCGCGGCTATGTCAACAGCGGCCGCAGCTTTGCATCTCCCGAGGATGAAGCAGCAGCAGCAGCCTTCGATCGCGACGACACCGACGATCATCCTGGCATTCCGCCTCGCCCTCGCTCGGACGATGACGACGACGACGACAGCGATGACGCACCTACCCCTGGACCATCCCGCCGCGAAACCGCCCCCAGCACTTCCTCACCTGGACACGAGAGCGACGATGATGACGTGGTGGAGGTCCCCATCACTGACACTGCGGAAACCGCGAACGTCTCCGGCCTGCAGCTTCTCGGGCTCCACACCTCCGTCTCCGCCATAGCTCGCGCTGTTGAACCAAAGAACCCGCGCCAAGCCCTCACCGGCCCGCACGCCAAAGAGTGGCGTGCAGCTATGGACGCCGAACTGAAAGCGCTGGAGTCCCGTGACACCTGGGTTCTCGTCGATCGTGCAGCAGTGAAGGGGAGGAGGGTGCTCAGCGGGAAGTGGGTTTTTCGGCTCAAGACTAACGCTGACGGAACCATTGAGCGCTTCAAGGCACGATGGGTGGTCCGAGGCTACGACCAACGCCACGGCATCGACTTCGACCAAACTTTCGCTCCTGTCAGCCGTCACACCTCCGTCAGGATCCTACTCGCCATAGCGGCCGCTAAGCATCTACCACTGCGACAGATCGACGTGAAGAACGCATTCCTATATGCGTTGGTGGACGCAACCATTTTCGTGGAGCAACCACACACCTACGGAGAAGGAGATCCCAGGGTCTGCCAGTTGAAGAAATCCCTCTATGGGATTAAGCAGGCGCCTCGTCTCTGGCAGCAGCACCTGCACAAAATTCTACTGGAAATCGGCTTCAGGCAGCTGCCGCACGACCCGGGAATGTACCGCCTCCACTTCAACGGCGACTACATCCTCCTCACCGTCTACGTCGACGACCTGCTCTACACTGGCACCTGCAACACGCTTCTTACCCAGTTCGAAGAAAACTTGGCGAAGCGCGTGGACATTACCACCAACCACAACGTCACCCAGTTTCTGGGCCTGAACATCACCTACGCGCCAGAAGCAATTCATCTGTCAGCTTCAAAATACGCAGAGCAGCTGGGAGAACGGTTCAACATCTCACGCTCACCACACTCAACTCCATACCGCAGCCCCAGCACCAACTACAAACCAGACAACAAACCTTTGTCCCCCGCGGGGCTCCACCTGTACCAACATCAGCTGGGCTGCCTGCTGTTCGCATCTGTCACATGCCGACCCGACCTTTCGTACATCACCTTTGGCACAGTACTCCCGCAAACCAGTAGCCGAGAACCAGTTGGACCTGGAGCGCGCCCTGCAGTACTTCATCTCCACGCCTGACATTGGACTCTCCTACTCCACGCTGCCAACAACATCCTTCAACCTCAACGGCTACGTGGACGCTGACCATGCCGCTGACCCAGCAAATCGACGGTCCCGAACCGGCTTCGTTTTTCGCCTGGAGCCAACTGGCCCCATCTCCTGGAACTCGCAGAAGCAGGAACTGGTTGCCCTGTCATCGGCCGAAGCTGAATACATCGCCGCGACAGCAGCAGTTCGCGAAGGTCTGTACCTGCAGGAGCTGTTACAGGAGGCGAAAATTCCAACCTCGCCTACCTTTCGCCTGCACTGCGACAACCAGAGCGCGATCAAGATCGCGAACAAGCCCGGGTTCGTGAACCGCACGAAGCACATCGCACTGCGGTACTTCTTCGTCAAGGACGAAATCGACCAGGGTAAAGTTGACCTCGCTTACTGCCCAACCACTGAGATGGCAGCCGACTTCCTCACCAAGCGTCTGCCACGTCAGCAGTTCAAGCACTGCTCCGACCTCACCGGAGTGGTCAAGCGAGTCAGCACCCTTCGCGTCCAGGAATGAAGGGGAGTGTTACGATATGAAGCTTTATGAGAAGGCATTCCTGTATGCTGCAGGAGCCGACTCTACCGAGTACGAAGTCGAGGAGTCAGAAGAGTCGAAGCGACACAGCAACCGTCTGACTAAGACCGATGCAGGCAGAAGCATTTGAAGTGAAAAGAGCGGGAACAGGTTTGAAACTGATTCCCGCGCCGCACGGTTTGAATTTCGTTGCAATAAGGGAATGTACCCCTTAGAGTACATGGCTAGTCTAGGTCGTTTCGCATTCCTTTGTATTTCTATATAAACCCAATGTATGCATGCTATTATCAATCTCAGTCATTTACATTCACTCTGACCTGAGTTCACTACTTCCGCTGCGACACTACCTGCGATCAACCCTGAACTATCCTCTTCGCTAAGCCACACTTCAGATTGTACCAGCTTAGAAAGCTGTAAGCACACACGAAGCAATCATTTCGTGCCAAAGAATGCAGATGCACTGTCGCTGTGTACCCGAGCAATGGAACCCCTTTCACATTGTATTTGTTGGGGGGGTGTGCGTTTGAGCGCAGCCAGTTTGGCAAATATGCGCAGTACTTCCACTATTGTTGTTACAGCTAGGAGTACGAATTTGTGTGCACGTTGACAAAAACTTTTTGGGGTTATAACAATCGTGATTACAGCGACAGAAGTTTGGATAAGGCATTGCTCACGCGGCGACAACATCTAATTGTGCAGTGTGTGGTGTGAAAATCGGATGTCACAGTACAGCTCGGATGGGACGTGCGTGTGGCTAACGATAAGCCTAGGATTACCCCCTCTCTCGACAGCCAATTATCACCCACCTGGGTCCTTCGGGAGCCAATGGGTTGATTCACACGCTGCCAAGCCAGCAATAAGACGGTTTTTGAGACTTCTCGCCCAATCGCCAATCTGCCATCGAAATTGACAGCATTGAGCTCGTTCACGTCTCGTTCTCCCTGGCAGTTCAAAGCTCTGACCCTGTTCGTTGCAGAGCCATTTCCAACATTAAAATTTCCAATTTCTTTTTCCCAGATCTAGTTAGTGTATTCGAGTGTTGTTCTGGTTGTTGCGCCTTTTCCGTTTCTGCCTACGCTATAAGCTCCAGAAGTCATTTTTACATCTGTTCGTTGTCTTCTGTCCTCCCTCCACCAGGTCATCAATACCGTATGTGTCGGTGGGCGCCTACGTCACTGGCGTGACAGACAAATAATGTCTGCTCGCTTTACGAGTTGCGTGGGATCAGGTGAGTTTATTTTTATGCCAACGACGCAATTTCTAATATGCATCTTGTCTGCGCCTTGTATATTTCTAGGTTAGGTACGTGCGTCACTGGGTGCAGGAACATTCTACGATCCCCCTATCCTTTCTACCATGTTTCAACAACCCGTGGTTTCGCTCACATCAATGCCTAACAAGTTAGGTAAGCTCTGTTTTGGTGCTCGTTGCCTATGCTGACTAACGGTGGTTCTATGCTGTCTAGCTTTGTTGCGTGTGTTGGCAGGATGTTGCAGGTCCCGGTTGTGTTGTAGATATTATTCAGTGGAAGTAATGTTAAATTGTAATGTGTTATATATTGGTAGGCTGTAGTGGGGTAGCCAATATGGGGTACAACCCCAACTAGGGTTTCATATTTGTACCCAAACTTCTGCTAGTTCATTCATTCTTGCCTAGTTATTTTGAGATGGTATTCAGAGCAGGAGGTCCCTAGGACCTACCGACCGTTTTTTTAAGGGCCCACCACCGCTCGCATGCGGTTACCACGCTACCCCGTGCCCTAGCCTCGTAGCGCCCTCGTGCGCCCTCGTTAGCGCCCTCGCGCGCCCCTCGTTAGCGCCCTCGCGCGCCCCTCGTTAGCGCCCTCGCGCGCCCCTCGTTAGCGCCCTCGCGCGCCCCTTGCTAGCGCCCTCGCGCGCCCCTCGCTAGCGCCCTCGCGCGCCCCTCGCAGCGTCGCCCGCCCGCCGAGCCGCCTGCTCGCAGCGTCGCCCGCCCGCCACGCTGCCCGCTCGCCGCCCGCCCGCCGCGCTGCCTGCTCGCAGCGTCGCCCGCTCGCCCCGCTGCCCGCTTCGCAGCCCGCTCGCCCCGCTGCCCGCTTCGCAGCCCGCCCGCCCGCTCGCTGCCCTCTTCGCGGCCCGCCCGCTCGCTCGCTGCCCGCTCGCAGCGTCGCCCGCCCGCCCGCTGCCCGCTCGCAGCGTCGCCCGCCCGCCCGCTGCCCGCTTCGCAGCGTCGCCCGCTCGCTCGCTGCCCGCTCGCAGCGTCGCCCGCCCGCCCGCTGCCCGCTTCGCAGCCCGCCCGCCTCGCTGCCCGCTTGCAGCGTCGCCCGCCCGCCCGCTGCCCGCTTGCAGCGTCGCCCGCCCGCCCGCTGCCCGCTTCGCAGCCGCCCGCCGCGCTGCCCGCTCGCCGCGTCGCCCGCCCGCCCCGCTGCCCGCTTCGCAGCCCGCCCGCCGCACTTCCCGCCTGCAGCGCCGCCCGCCTCGCCTGCTGCTCCCTGCCTGTGCACCGCCGCTTGCTCCTGCTGTGGCTGCTAGCTTCGCTCTAGCGCGTCCCCTCTGCTGCTGCCGCTGCTCTGCTGTGCCCTCACGCCTGAGCTATGGCCTCTATTCGCGTTCTTTCCTTCGATGCTGAGGGCCGTCCCGTGCAGTTCACTTCCTGGCTCGACGACCTGCAGTTGTATCTTATGAGCAATAGCACGGACCACATCTCCCTCTATGACTACGCGTCTGGTGCTGCCGCTGCTCCTGCTGCCACAGCCGAGCTTAGTGTACGTTCACAGTGGCAGACTCGTGACGCTGCAGCTCGCCTGGCTATTCGCAGTCACCTGCCGTTAGCTGAGCTAGAGCACTTTGGCGACTGCAAAACCGCTAAAGCCCTATACGACGCTGTCGTTGCTCGCTACTCCTCACCTGCCACAGCCGAGCTTAGCCGTCTCATGCTGCCTTACCTGTTCCCTGACCTGTCCACCTTTGCTACAGTCGCCGATCTTATCACCCACCTTCGCACTAGTGATGCTCGCCTGCGTGCCGCCCTTCCCACCGAGTTCTGCGCTAAGAACCCCCCTCCCCTGTACTGGGCACTCCACTTCATAGTCACCCGTCTCCCTGACACCCTCAGCTCAGTGCGCGACTATTTCCTTGCTCGCTGTCCCACTGAGCTCACTGTCGCCCTCCTAGAGGAGAAGCTGCTAGCAGCCGAGAAGAGCATTGTAGCTGTAGGTGCTGCTCGCGGCGCTCCTCGCACCCCCATCTTTGAGGGGTGTTCTCCCTCTCCCCTCGCTCCCTCCTACGCTACTGCTGCTGCTGTTGACTTCCTTGGTGCTGAGTCTGTTGGCGCTGCTTCTGCTCCTGGTGGGAGGCGCCGCACCGGCAAGGGCAAGGGGGGCAAGGGTGGTGGTGGTGGCGCTGGGGGGGGAGGAGGTGGGGGAGGTGGGGGAGGAGGCGGTGCTGGAGGGAGCGGTGGCGGGAGCGCTGGTGGGAGTGGGGTCGGCGGTGGAGGCGGCGGAGGAAGCAGTGGCAGTGGTGGCGGCGGCGGTGGTGGCGGCGGTGGCGGTGGTGGCGGTGGTGGCGGTGGCGGTCGGAGCGGTGGTAGTGGTGGCGGCGGAGGTCGGAGTGGAGGCACTGGCTCGGGCCAGAGCTCCCAGCAGCAGCAGCGTCCCCAGACGACCCAGCAGCTTCGTGAGTGGCTTGCTCAGCGTGGGACGTCGGGGGGCAGTGGCCGCTGTTCCTATGTCATTCGCACAGGTGACCGCAAGGGACAGACGTGTGGGAGGTTCCACACCCCGTACCGCTGCTTCTCCCGCCTTGATGACGCTTGGCGTGAGGAGATGGGTGAGGATGTTGAGCGCCCCCGCTGGGCTGAGCTCATGAGGGCTGGTGTTGATGTCTTTGCTCTTGACTATGATGCTATTATTGCTGCCATGTATGCATTGACTGTTAGTGCCGAGGGAGACTGTTACTTGTGTGTGCCGCCTGACCCAGGTATAGAGCCCGCTGCCCTGGGTACTAGTGAGTCTGCTCTCTCAGGTACAGCACCCACAGAGACTGCTCTCTCAGGTACCGCACCGGCTGAGGCCTGTCACACCTTCACCCTTGACTCAGGTGCTTCCCGTTGTTTCTTTCGTGACAGTACTGAGCTCACACCGCTTCCTGCACCGGTCCCAGTCTCCTTGGCTGACCCCTCTGGGGGCCCAGTCCTTGCCCAGTCCACCACTGTACTCCCTTGTCCGGCTTTTCCGTCTGGCTCGTTGTCGGGTTTCCACCTCCCCTCGTTCTCGACGAACCTGGTGAGCAACGCTGTCATCCAGGATCAGTGGGTTGACACCTTTACCCCTGGAGGACAGCGTGTGGCGATCTGCACGTGCTCCAGGACCGGCCGTCACCTGGCTACGTTTACCCGTCGGCCGGGGTCGAGTCTCTACACACTGACCACTACGTCTCCTCAGGTCGCTGCTGTCGGTCAGGTGTCTGCGTCAGGTCTGGTGGCCCACGCCTGTGAGTGTCGTTCCCTGTCGCACCAGACTCTTCTCTGGCACCACCGCCTGGGTCACCCCTCCTTGCCACGCCTTCGTGGCATGCACCGTCGCCACCTTGTGTCTGGTCTTCCCAGGTCCCTCCCTCCCCTCCCTGCCTCGCCTGCGCCGCCTTGCCTTCCTTGCGTCGAGGGGCGGCAGCGCGCCGCTCCTCACTCCTCCTCGTTCCCCCCGACAGAGGCTCCTCTGCAGACCCTCCACCTGGACGTGTGGGGCCCAGCCCGCGTTCGTGGTCAGGGCGGTGAGCGGTACTTTTTGCTGGTTGTCGACGACTACTCGCATTACACCACGGTCTTCCCCTTGCGCACCAAGGGTGAGGTCCCTGCTGTTCTGATCCCTTGGATCCGCACAGTTCGTCTCCAGCTCCGCCGCCATTTCCGGACGGATCTTCCTGTCCTGCGTCTGCACTCTGACAGAGGTGGTGAGTTTTCCTCCGATCTCTTGAGGACCTTCTGTCAGGCGGAGGGCATCGAGC